GCGTCCTTATTTCTTTGGAGTAAAGATCTCTTGATCCCGAACATGCATGTGCAGAGATGGGAAAAATTTTCGCATTTTGTTTGAATTCTACCTCCCAGAATATCTCAACCCAGATATTCTGGGAGGTAGAATCCACAAGGACTGGTAGTCACTGCACACAAAAGACCACCTAACAACACCTATCAATCACAGTGACAGATCATCTCTCCCCCTTATCACAACAGGTCACCCGACAGATCATCTCTCCCCCCCCTTATCACAAGAGGACACCCACCACAAAAAACACGCTGATCACCATAATCACCCATTCTCCTGAAAAGGACAAAAGCTGATCCCACAGCTATAAATACTCAACTATCCAAACAAACTGCACCAGAGCACAGACAGAGTTCTGACTCCTGTCCTCTGAAGATGCCGGTCACAGAGACTGGTGAAACGTTAGGAAGAAAAACCTTAAGAACATGGCCAAACAGCCTGGAAAACCCACAACCACCACCACATATTCTTATTCATAAAAATAATTCTTGGTGCAGTTTCTCCCCTTTCCCTTTCCCCCCCAACACATTTTTCTCCTTAAGCAGCAGACCACCTTTCCTTTTCACATAATTAAAAGACAAACATTCTCTTTTATTGCATTTAGCCTTTTAAAAATTTAACTGCATTTTTTTTAAAACAGAAAGAACAGTCATAATGTCAGCTATCCCTGGGATAAATGCTAAGAACAGAATACTCAGCCTCTTTAATGTACTGTTTTGTAATAAAAGCCAACTAAGAGTCCTCTGGCACTTTAAAGACTAACTTATGCTTGCTTTGATTAGCATCTCTCTCTCTCTCTCTCTCTCTCTCTCTCCTTTCTAACTAGAAAGGAAAGAAAACCGTGTTGGCCAACGGGGGAAATTCCAAAATCCACAAAGGTCTTGTGGTCAGTTCATCTGAAATCTCGCAGAATCCTGAGGGAATTTTCAAATTTTCTAGAATTCATCAGATGTGCTGCTTAGTAACATAACAGAGGGGGACTGGTGTCAAAATCTCTAAGCGTCTGACTCAGTACAAATGAAAACAGCAGCTATTCAGTCTTCCCAAGTCCTGCATGTTGGAGTAACTGCAGGGTGTTACATTTGAAACATGGAGTTAGCAATTGTGCATCTCTGTCTTCCCATGCTCCTAAAGGTTCATTTGCACAGAGCAAATGAACATTCCACAAGGCAATTCTAAAAATGCAGGCAGGCCTAATTAAAAATTATAACTTTGAAACTAGACTTTAGATCAGCACCAAATTTGGCACTGGCGTAGCAGACAGTCTGTTCTTCTGCTGTGTCAAATTTAGGAATATTTGGGCAAGGGATATTCAAATTAAGAGTTTTTAAATGCAAAACTGTTTTACGCTCAACATGCAGAAAAAAATTTGCCCTAAACACCCCTGGATTTAAAACAGATCAAATAATTGGAAAGGACAAATCTTGCTTATATTGAAAGAGAATGGTTGGTCCCACCTGCTTTTTTTTAATTTTGAAAAAAATCCAACTGCAGGGGCTGAAATACTGATCCTTAAAAAAGGTCTTTCAAAAGAGAAAAATAACCACTTTGTTATAAGACAGCATGTGTAGGACAGGCTTACTAGCAAGAATGTTCAGAAGTAGATACATTGTTGCAGTTTAATGGAAGAGTAATGAAAGGTCAGAAAAACAGTCAAACACCATTTTTCTTGGAAGAGTAAAAAAACAGGTTTGCTTTAAAGAAAGTAATGGAATGACAGTCCTCCAGGAAGGGGAACATTTTGCCATGTATTTCCAGGGAATTAGCATACAATTTTGTAAGGCATATTCAAAATATTTCTATATTACAAAAACATGGTGCAGTTATGCTTGTCCCAACCCTGAGTGCTTTCAGTAAACATTATCTCAGGATTTCTGGTACCAGGATCCTGACATCAGCCTTCAAAGGAAATCAAAGGAACTTTTGACCCTGTCAGTCAAGACTCCATTCTCTGACTCTCAGAAGGAGAACTGAAAGCTTCCTCAACAGTCTGTGATATGTTGGTGGGTCTTCTTATTAAAGACGTTGCCTGACCTTTGGGTCTCCCCTGTATTAACGGCTCTCTTACAAACTGGGGCTTTAAAGCCGAACATGTGCTGAATAATGACAGGATATGCCAGTAGTTGACTGAATAAGTGTCTTAACATTTCTGGACTAGTTTAAATAAACCTCCTCTCCTAAGAGGCCATTATTGAAGTGGTGTCCAGGTTGAAAAAAGGGGGGAAAAAGACCTTTGCACTTGATTCAGAGCCCAGAAATATTATTATATGGACTACAACCCCCTAGAGTTCCCAGCCTAGGGAATTCTGGGAGTTGTAGTCCAAAAAGTAATGTTTGTCAGCTCTGTCCTCCACAGGCATTGTGCTTACTGAGATATGAGAGGCTTATGTGAGCCACAAGGAACACATGGAGTCGGGAAAGCCACACGGCAAATGATTTCCGAACCGCCGTCCCGCGCTCCTTGGCCCTGAACTTCCTTTCCGTTTGTGACCCTTTGGGTGGAACGACAGGCACCGACCCTCACACGTACTCATCGCCTTCCTGCTGGCCTGCTTCAGCTGGGGGAAAACTCCAATGAGCCACCAAGTTCTTGAGACACGAGGAGTGGAAACCCACCTTGAGGCTTAAGTGGGCAGCTGTGTTCACTGCCAGTTCCGTGGAGGGGAAGAAGAATACACAGGAAACCAGCTGCGGGTGCAAGGCCAGCGCAGGGAAGCAGAAGGAAGGGGCCCAGAAAGGTTGCACCCGAGATGCATCTCCTCCTCTTCCTCCTTTTAAAAAAAATTCTTGAGCCTTTGCATCATACCTCTGTTACGATTGCTCCCTCAAGAGCCGTGATTTGGGCGGCTGAATACCTCGGAAAAGCAGCTGGCAGGTGCCCCGCGGGGGAACCAGGGGCTGCTTATGTCTTCCATGAAGTGGGAGGATGTCCTACAAGGTTGTCTTACAAGCTTAGGTTTCCTCCCAGTGAAGGCAATATATTTATGTAATATAAGCCTCTCCTGTTTTGCTGGTAGAAAGACTTCAAGGTGGTCTCCATTCTTCTGCTCTAAGGAACCATAAGGAATCTGTACACGCGCGTGTGCGCGCGCGCACACACACACACCCCCCAAGCCCTTGACAGATGGGTTAGCCCCCCCCCCGGTCAAGCTCCTCTCTACAGAGAAGGGAGAAAATATAAGCTGGTACCTCGATACCTTTGCATCACGGCCTCTCCCAATTTGAAGAGACCCTTGTCCAGCAGGCCAAGGCCAAGAGACAGTCCCGAAAGTAGCCAAACCAGGGAGCTGGACATGGGACAAGATATGTATTTGTCTTCAGTGTGGAAGGGATGGTCACTCTCGAATTGGCCTTCTCAGCCACACTAGACGCTATTCCAAGACCTCCGTTCAGAGCACGTGACCTTCAGGCCGGGTGGGCCCGACTAGGGCGTGTGGCCGCTTCCTACATCCTGCAGGAGATGCTCAGATACCAAGGTGGTCTCGAGACTAAAGGATGCTTACATGTATATCTTTGGTTCACCCTGTTGCTAGACATGGTGAGTTGCACTAGAGTAGGCCCATTGAATTGGTGGGGGCTGTGCTAAAGTAAGTGGCCACTGGAGTAGACCCATCTGAATCAATGAAAATTGTGGAGGAGTTGACTCAACCCAATCCCCACTGATGGAATGGGCCTACTCTAGTTGTGGACCAAGATAATTTCAGCCTTGATCCGGCAAGCAGTTTGCTTTCTAAGTGGCCACTGGAGTAGACCCATCTGAATCAATGAAACTTGTGGAGGAGTTGACTCAACCCAAGCCCCACTGATGGAATGGGCTACTCTAGTTGTGGACCAAGAGAAATTCAGCCTTGATCCGGCAAGCAGTTCACTTTTGAGAACAACAGCTGTTACATCTGGCCAGATTTTTACACCGTGTTGTATTCCACCCCCCCACCCTCTAATCCCCCAGCCTGAAACGTAATCCTGCAGAACTCTGAACCTTGTGTTGTTTGCAAGCTTTTGGTGACCTAGCAACAGTGTTAGGCAACCCCAGTTGTTGTTTCGGCTGGTGGGGCACTCCGCCGCTTCCCTCTCTTCGCTTTCCCAAAGGTCACTGGTGTCAGTTGAGTTGAAAACAGCCGGAGCCCCATCGGTTCGCCTGCCGTCCCTCTCCGGGCTGGGAAACTGGGCTCGGCTCAGAAGTCTCCTGGTTCTAACCACAGACTAGAGGCCAGAGGAAGCCCACCGCCGCGCGAGTGGCTGGATTATGCCCCTGCTGCTCACATGCAAGCCACAGGGGGCAGAAAACTTCTTTACTGCAACAGGTAAAGAAGACCAGCTTAATAAACAAGCCCCCTTAGTCCCCCACCCCTGATTAGGAGGGTAGTTAAGAGAATTTTGGGCCATTCTCTGTTTCTAGCTGGTTAGAAGGAAGGAAGGAAGGCCAAAGTCCTCCCTTCCACACCCACATTGAGTCTGGTGGACCAACCGGACATGATCCGTCCCATGCCACTCGCGCCTGCTGGTCTCCCCTCTCCCTACCCCACATCGACGGACTTACATCGAAACAAACCTTCCCGGTGCACCTGCCAGCCAGGGACACTCTTTTACTGTGTGAAGACCCTCTTGGTTGGCCTTTCTTTCTGCACCCACGTTCTAGCTCCTCCACCCTAATTTGCAATGAGTGATGGACTATGATGATGATTATTATTTGTTCCACTAGCCCGTTCCTACCAACGGACCTGCTTCTGAGAAGCCTCCAACCTGCCGATGAATCGGAGTCCCAGGCATGGCCCTGATGCAGGGAGCATGGTTCTCAGTCTTCCCTAGAGGGGCGAATGCACCCCACAGCCTTCAGGGTCTCCACAGGGGTCACGGGGTCAGCTCTCCCCCAAAATGGCTTATGTTCCAACAGGTGGAAGGCACCAACACCGATGACGCAGGTGTCCCGAGGTGGTTGCGCCGTCTCATCTCTCCCACCCACCCACTCCCCCGGCATCCGCGGTTGCGTCTGTCCCTCTCCCCTGGTGTCAGGAGGACGGAGGATCTCCTGCCGGGTTCCGGGGCTTGGCCAGTCCCCCACGGTAAGCCTCCGCACTGACTCAGGACACTGCCGGAGGTCTCATTTCAAACACCCGGGGAGGCAGGAGAAGGTCTGTTTCACACGCAGGATCAAGGGGTCTGTGCGCTTCGTGCTCTTGTTCCCCACTGCCACCCTCCGTGGGGCAGCCACGTCGGCCCTGGAGGGCTCCCGCCTCTTGCCGGAGGGGAGCAGGGCTCTAATCTCCTCCTCGTCGTTAAAAGGGGATGCTCCATACTTGCGCTCCAGTCTCCGGCGGATCTGAAAGAGTGGCATACGGGGTAGTCAGTCCCCGGGAACTGGGTGGGCAAAGCAAAGGAAATGGGAAGAAGGGCAAAGGGCGCTGCAGATGGGAAAGCCTTGGCCCTCCAGATGTTTTGGGTTTTAGCTCCCAGAAGCCCCGGCCAGCAAGGCCTTGTGGGAGATGTAGTCCAGACATCTGGAGGGCCAAAGCTTGCTCAGGGCTGCCAAGAGGAGATGCTCAGATACCAAGGTGTTCGTGGGTGTCTCATGAGCCCCGCTCCCCCCTTCTGCTCCCAGTTGAAGCTTCAGGAGCCACACACACTCATCTCTCTCTCTCTCTCCACCTTCCACTCTCTCTCCCCCCCCCCAGTCCCAGGGCTTCGGGGTCTCACCTTCTGTGCAGACCGGCTGGATTCGTACTCCTCCAGCTGCTGGCGGAAACCTGGGTTGGGGTTGGCGACGGGGCGCACTGCCTTGACGGCCTCCAGCGCTTCTTGCCAGCCCAGCTGCGTCACTGCCATGACGTAGGCGAGGACGATGGTGGTGCTGCGGGAGATACCTGCCAGGCTGCGGCCGGAAGGAGAAAACAGTCAGGGCCCACTTCCCCCTTGACCTTCTGCTACGCTGGCCTCTCCCTCCCTGCTTTCTTACAAGCAGCGCAAGGACAGACCTGAGTCTTCCGGGAGGGGTGGTCACGGAGCAGGACCGAACTGCTAAGCGGACGACTCCTGTGAGTGTCCCGCACTCATGCCAAAAGGAATCAGGATTGACTTGGGTGGCTCAGCATGGCTGAAACACTCTGCACATGCTCAGGAGGGCATACTCCACAAGCAACCCAGGCTTCAGGATAAATTCCACCTATTGAGCCACTGGGGTTTAGATGAGGTTCCAGAGAGCAGCATTCCCCAGCCTGGGCCCATTTAAGGCGCCGGACGTCAATTCTTGTAATTCCCCTGCTGGATGTGGGATACGGGGAGATATTCTAGTACCTGCTTGGGGAGAGCTGGGTTCGAAAGCTCGGCCAGGGAGATCTGGGGTCAGATCCGCACTTGGCCACAAAGCTTACTGGGTGGCCTCAGGCTAATTACCGTGTTTTTCCGTGTATAAAACAACTTTCCTAAAATAATGGGAGGAAAGATTGAGGCTTGTTTTATACATGGAATTATGGAGGGGGGAGGAGAGAGAGAGATAACAGTGCTTTGATCTCTGCTTTCCCTCTCTGCTTTTTGTAAAGAAAGTGGAGGGGGAAAGCAGCTTTTTGCAAAAAAAGAAATTTGGGGTTAGAAATGTGGGTGGTGGTGGTTTTGTTTTATACATGGGTTGCAAAGAAAGAAATTTTTGGGTTAGAAATGTGTGTGTGGGGGTCTTATACACGGAAAAATATGGTAGCTACCCTCTATCTTGTCTTATACACGGAAAAATACAGTAGCTACCCTTTATCTTGGCCTCATCTACCCCCCAGGGTTGTTGTGCAGATAAAACGGGCAAAGAATGGAGTGGGCCTTTGGAGAAAAGGTGGGACAGAAACCTAAGGAAGAAGTACAGATATGCGTCCACTGCTTGGGGTGACCGGGGTGACGGTGTGGAGAGCCAACGGGCACAAGCTCTGTTGTGCCCATTCATGCCAAATGCTGGCTGGGGATGATGGGGGTTATAATCTAATACACCCAAAAGGCAGCAGGTGCTGGAAGACAAGCGTGCACATTTTGGAGGAACGGGAACCCAATGGCTGACTCTGTATAAATCAGCCTCCAGGGGGTCGCCTGACCTTCCGGGATTCCCAGCCAAACATCACACCTACCTCTCATCCCCCCCCCAACCCCGTCAACTCTAAGGCCCATGTTAACATACCAGTGGACGAGGCAGCTTCCTCCACGCAGGCGGCAGGAGTGGATGAAATGAATGCATTCTTTGAAGTGCTTCTTACTAGAGGTGGGTGGGTGGGGAGAAGTAGAACAACACACTCAACTTTAGCTACCCGGGTAGCTAAAGTTACAAACAGGGCTGTGGACAGAACTTTGTTAAAAACTCCTTTTCAGAAACTCAGCGTTTTAGGTCACTGGCTGTAGAGCCAAAGGTTGGGAGTTTGATTCCCCCCACGGTGACTCCTGAGAGACCTCAGCGTTTTAGGTCACTGGCTGTAGAGCGAAAGGTTGGGAGTTTGATTCCCCGCACAGTGACTCCTGAGAGATGAGCCAGCCCGTGTAGCCTTGGGCAAGCTGCACAAAGTCCCAGGGCACCCCAGGAAGAAGGGAAAATGGGAAACCCCTGCTGAGTCTTCTCTACCGGGAAAATCACAAAGTCCCAGGGCACCCCAGGAAGAAGGCAAGGGGAAACCACGGCTGAGTCTTCTCTATCGGGAAAAAATCGGGAAAGGGTCACCCTAAGTAGAATTGATTGGCAGCACATGAAGAGGGTGACGATTTTAAATGCAAATCATTCCTGGTATAATTTATGGAAATCCAGCCAAAATGCCTTAAAACACCATTTTTAAGGTAATATCTCGAGATAACTAGAACACATTATTTACCCCCTTCCATCAAGACAGCAGCTTCATTCCTGTCCCTTCTACTGCTTTTGCATGGTAACATTATTGGGCCTTTGATATCCCAAAAAGAGTAACTAGTTCCATGTAACTCATTCCCAACCTCTGATGATCTGCTAGGACTCCCTCATGTTCCTTCCCCTCAGCTGTAAAGGACAGGTAACAGTTCTCTCTTCCTTAGCCCTACGGAAGCTGTTCCACCTAAGTCATGACTGAGCAACATCTCAGGGTCTGAGGACCACATCAACCCACACCAGAACACTGTGGGCTGCAATGATCCCCATGATCCACCACCCACCCCCAAAGATCCTCCTCCTCTTCTTTTTGTTAAATAGAAAAAGTTCCCTTTTGCCCTCTAGTGGCAAAAAATATATATTACAAAAATATATGGTTTTTTTGGCGATGAAGCAGTAAATGGCAAATTTGCTCCCCAAGCAACAAATTTCTCTGGGGCCCCAGAAACGACAGCTGAAACCAAAAGAAATGGAGAAGGGAGAGCCACGGATGTAAACCTGGAACTCCATTTTGGAACATATCTGCCTTGGGTGCAACGTTCAGCAAAAGTGATAGCACAGGTCTTGAGTCCGGGGTGAAAATAGTTTCAATTAAAATAAATAAATAAATAGGACAAAATGAGATTCATAGCATTATTTGGGTTCCCCATCTGTCTGCAAAAAAATGCCAGTTGGTGTCCAAGGAAGTGGAGTGCAATCCACGGAAGTTCACATTACAATACATTTTTAAAAAATTTTTAATAGGTGACAATATTTTTTTTGTTTCCAACACATCCTGAAACAGGGGAATATGGTGAAAACAGTCCCCAAGAACAATCTGTGTTTGCAAAATTAACCGAGAGTGAACCATCTGGGTTTGCAACACAAAAGCACCAAAATAGTTTGAAACGGGAGACTTCCCACCCGGCTTTGGACCTGGGCTTCAGCCAGAGCTGATGCATTTCCAAGAACAGGAGCTGACACACTTCACTTGTTTTGATTCGCTTTTGCACAGACCTGAACAAAATGGGAGTAAATTGATAGTGTTGAGCTACTGCTCCCAACGACCAGAGGTTATCTTGTTTACCAGGATTTGGCCTCTGGGAGAGCCTGTGTGAGTGCCGTGCCACTGTTTGCGCACTCCAGTGCGTGCGAGCGCTCTTCGTGGGGTGACTAAGGTTGGGGACCCCTGCCTTAGAGGACTCTCTCAACCATGAATCTATAATTCCATGACATCCTGATGATAAAAGATGCTGACGATTCAGGAAAAAAATTCTATGCAAGCTGCTGTTGACAGGAGAGACTTGTCACGAGGCTACCCTGATCCCAATGCGCAGGTGGATCTGTGCTGGTCAGGAGTGTTTTCGGCCAGCTGCCTTTGCTAGAAAGAGGAGGCTTGGCTCCGGTTACTTACGCCTGGGTGCACAGGCAGTCACATTGCTGTGGGTGGCTGAGCTACAGTCCCTGGCATTCCTCACCATGGTCTCTCCTTGCCAAGAGTGCATGGGAGTTGCAGAAATGTCTAGATTGGCCATGCGTTTTCACTTCCTCCCTTGCCTGCCTTCGTGGCCAAATGAATGCACAAACCTGCCTTTAAAAGATCTTCATAACAACTGCAAAGGGGGCAGAATCAGCTGGCCAGCATCTTATGTGCCCATGCCTTCATCACATCACTGTGATCTCTCCAGTATTTTGAGACTTGAAGGGAAGGTGTGATGGAGCGGGAGAAGATCCTTACGTGCAACCCTGACTCACTGGAGACCAAAGGTAAGGCCAAAGAAACCTGTTAGATTAGGCATCATTCAGTCTCAAGAGACTCTGGTCAACTGCTCCGTATGGAGGACTTGGAACAACATCTAGTGTGGCTGAGAAGGCCAATTTGAGAGTGACCAGCCCTTCCACACTGAAGACAAATCCAATCTGTCCCCTGTCCAGCTCCCTGGTTTTGCTGCTTTTGTGACTACCTCTTTGCCTCGGCCTGCTGGGCAAGGGTCTCTTCAAGTTGGGAGAGGCCGTGATGCACCGCCTGCCTCCAGGCTGAACGCTTGGAGGTCAAGGTTTCCCATCTGTTGAGGTCCATTCCTAAGGCCTTCAGATCCCGCTTGCAGATCTCCTTGTATCACAGCTGTGGTCTCCCTCTGGGGCAGTTTCCCTACACTAATTCTCCATACAGGAGATCCTTTGGAATCCAACCATCAGCCATTCTCACAACGTGCCCAAGCCAACGTAGACGTCGCTGTTTCAGTAATGTGTACATGCTGAAAATTCCGGCTCGTTCTAGGACTACTCTGTTTGGAACTTTGTCCTGCCAAGTGATACCAAAAATATGTCAGAGAAAATGCATAGGGAATGTGTTCAGCTTCCTCTCCTGCCATGCACAAAGGGTCCAGGGCTCACTGCAGGACAGGACACAGGCTCTATAGACCTGGATCTTGGTATGTGTTGTCAGCTTCTTATTGAGCCATACTCTCTTTGTGAGTCTAGAGAACATGGTAGCTGCTTTGCCATTGCGTTTATCCAGCTCGACATCTAGGGAGAATGTGTCAGAGATCCATCCAGACTATGGGATCCCTAATTATTATGCAGAGATGTGCAAGCTGGACAACGCGGAAAGATGGAAGTGTGGTGGTGGAATGAGAGCCGTTCCAAAGGTAGTGCTGGAGGAGAGCTTTACAGAACTCACGGACTGCCAGGAAGAGAAATAAGAGCAGTGATGGGATTCAGCAGGCCAACAAATGGTTCTGCAGAACCAATAATACATTAGCTACCGGTTCTGTAGAACTGGTGCGAACCTGCTGAATCCCACCACTGAATAAGAGGGTTCAAGATCAAATCAATCCTCAACTCTTACTAGAAGGAAAAGTGACAGAACTAGACATGTCCTTCTTTGGGCACATCATGACTCCCTGGAAAATACAATGATGCAAGAAAAGTGGAAGGCAAGTCAGAAAAGAGGAAGCTCAAACATGGGATGGATGGATTCGGTAAAGAAATCCACAGCCTTGACTTTGCCAGACCTGAGCAGGGAGGTTCGTGACCGAATCTTTTGGAGGACACTGATTCATCGGCTGGCATTAGGTTAGAAGTGACTTGATGCTACACAATGGCTCTACAAAGGTTTTTTAAAAAATGGTAGTTACTTACATGTTGGCATCTGGTGTGTCTGGCAGTCCAACGCGGAGGTAAGTGATTCCCTGGGGGTGGAAAAGAGGAGCCACTGAGATGAGTCGCTGCTGTCTGCACAATCTGGGAATATTTCGGCTGCAGAAGCTGTTGGCACCATGAGCGATGCCAGGCTGTGCCTATGCCACCAAAACACTGATGGCCCCGAAACCGATCGAACGGGGTTGCGAGGCTGAGGCGATGCGTAACGGCGGACCTGCCCTGCTTGCTCAGCCTGACCTTCCTCAAAGTAGGAAGATGGAGAGCCAGGCTGAGCTGGCTTGCAGGCTATCCATGCAATGAATGGTAAAAAAGTGTGCCAGCAATTTCTAAGGGGCTCTGGAAGGTGTATGCATTTTGCAAGGCTATTCAGATTTCTTTGCAAACGATTGGGGCCATCTCCTTGACTTCCCTCAAAGTCTTCTACAGAACCTACCTTTTTAATGAAACCTCGGCAAGCACTCTAGTTCCTACCATAGAGGTGGGCTGCTTTGGAGGGGGGGGAAACATGTCCCATCACCCATAGATCTGCCATGAGCTGGCTGGAGAGCTCAGGGGTTTAGGTCTCTGGCTGCAGAGCCGGAGGTTGCAAATTTAATTCTCTCCCCCCCCCCAGGGCCTCCTGGGAGAAGAGCCAGCCTGGGTAGCCTTGGGCCAGCGCCACAGTCCCAGGGATCCGCCCCAGGAAGAAGGGAAGCCACATCTAAGTTACTCTGTAGATTAGACAACACTGGGAAAGGGTCCCCCAAGTCAGAATTGACTTGATGGCATAGGATCCGTTACAGTTCTGCCATAGGCTATATTCACTTATCCCCCTATGAAACTGGGGAGGGGGTGGGGGGGAACAGTTGTTTTGTTAGAAGAACTTGAGGAAGGCATGGGATTTGTTTTATGAGCAAATATTTTTCCCTGCAGGCTCTCCT